TGTGTGTTTTCCGGGTGCTTTTTGAAAAAGAATCGTCATATCTTCTGTTCCGGTCCGTCAGATCTCGAGGTTGAGAGCTCTCACCAAAGCGGGTTGGATGAAGGAAGGAGCTTCCCTTACGTGAGAAGTGGTTACGACGCTCCTGTCGGGTGTCATATTGAGCTTCACACTGATGTTCCTACGACAGGTCTTGACGAGTTTCCAGGCAGTTCTAGATGTTGTCTCTTTTATAGGTATCAGTTCTTCTTAGTTCGCGGGAACTAGATTCCTTCCTAGTTGCAGGAACATGATGGTTCGAGCTTTGATTTTTTAGATTTACACCTCTGTTAAGGCGCCTCGCTGAAGAGAAGGAGGGCCCTTGTTCTGGGTGCGGTGGCAGTAGTGGAGGGAGAGCCGCTGGGGCCAATGGATGCCCTTCTCTTGCAGCTTCCCTTACTGCAATATTTTCTCTGCGTTGTTGATCTGAGGGCAGGTCCTCTCCTCATGTGAGATATGTCCACAGGTGAAACACCACATGTAGAGCTTCTCATACTTCAGCTCAATTTTAACAATTTCTCCTAATGATATACGTGCTTTTTTTCCAAATTTCAAAGGCATATCTGCATTGAGGGAGACTTGGACTTTTGCTGCTGCCGCCTCTACAGACTTAATTTACCCAAGAGAACTTCCAATCTCAGAGAAGATTTTCTCCATCCAAAAATGGGTGGGAATAGCAATGATTTTTATCCAAAAGATCATGGTGTTTGGGAATTCATCCCCAAAAGATCATGGTGTTTGGAAATTCATCCCCAACGTGAGGAGCCCATCTTTCCAGAGAAAATGACCACTTGTTAAAGTGGCAAGGCCGTTTATTAAGGACCTTCAAGAGACTGGCTTCAGAGTTGAAATCGAACTGAAACCATGAGTTCCCCAGATTTATGCCATGGACCTGTCCTTCAACATCCCATATGTTAGCTCTTGGCATAAAAGCTACGAGAGCTTCCGTGCTCCTACCGTCGCGGCGGAACATTTTTCCCACCAAGCTTAAGTTGAATTGCGGTACCAGGACAGCATTATTCACTTGGGGAAATTGATGATGTCTCTATCTTCTTGCTGGGATTGCAGGGTTTGACTAGAGGGAGCCTCCATGGTGTTGAGGGAGAGGGTGTGTCTTCGCTTGAAGCAGTAAAGCTCGAAAGTATTCTAGATCTGGAGATTTCGTTAACTGGTTTGAGTTTCTTAGCACTTGGCTAGAGAGAAAGGTTAGTGTTATATGCAAACGATTGGTGACATCCCAAGGAGGGAGAAGCTAAAATCCCGGAGACCCAACCATGGCCTGAAGTATTGTCCGGATAAAGGTATGGATCAAGGCTTCATAATTTACATTTCTTGTCTTGTCCAAATAGGGTCGGCGTAGGAGGAAGATTTTTGAATGAAAGAAAGCTGATTGTTGAGAAAGATCATTCAAATCATAGTTTGGAATAGTTGTTTAGGTAAGAGAAGCTGCGTAGGGGTGCTAGTTATAATGCTCATATAACATGTTTTAAATGTTCAATTTATTTTTTTTATTGGTATTTTCTCAAAATCTTATTGTATCAATTTTTTAGTTAAGTTTTTTATGTTAATTATTAAAACTTTTAGCCCAAATATCAAGTTAGTAAATTATAACATGTTGAAAGCTAAAAAAAAAATATTTATGAAAATGTTATAAAAAAAAATTTGAAACATAAATTTATAATATATTGAAAGCTAATAAAACTTTTTATAAAAACATGTTTAATTTCTCATTATATCATAATAGCCTTAAAACAGTTTGGTTTGATTTAAAAAATTCACAACAGATTATTAAAGTATGGCAGGTATATGGATGAGAGAGTACTTACCATGTCAAATCCTCTACTTATTAATTGACAATATAGTTTAATGAAATATGCTGATTTTTTTAAATTTCATTGGTTAAAAATATCAATCTAACCAAATTAAATGTGACATGGAAATGATGATGTGTAATGATGATGTAATTGTGACATGGCATTTGCTAACACATGTGAATTATGACATGGCAAAAAAAAATTTATGTATTTAATTTATTTTAGTTCAAATAATTATTTTATGAAAACTAAAAAATTTAAAATTTAATTATTAATATTTTTTATCACATGCACAAACATATGTTATATTTTTTTATTACATGCACAAAATTGTACACGTTAAATTGTATAAAAATTATATCATCACATGCACCGACTATATAATCTAAAGTAACATTAATCTAACAATTAATGTTTAACTAAAGAATCTATTTTTGTTGTCCACACAAAACAAAAGCTAAACAAATATACAAAGAGAAGTTAGAGTATACCACGTTTTGTTAACCGAAGTATGATTATCTACTTTTAACAATCTTCTTGAGATTGTCTTTCCGCAATATAATTCAAAGCAACATTAATTGTATCATCAAATTGTATAAAAATTATGAGAATTGTCTTCATCACATGCACCGACTTTATAATTCAAAGTAACATTAGTCTAACAATGTTTAACTAAAGAGCTCATTTTTGTTGTCTACACGAAATAGAAGCTAAACAAATATACAAAGAGAAGTTGGAATATATTTAAGTTCAAATAATTTTCTATGTTTAATTTAATTTAGTTCAAATATTTGTTTTATACAAAGAAGTCTTCGAGAATTTATAGGCTAAATATCTGGATAAATTGAGGAAGATTAATTGAAGACGAAGAAGATGATGAAATTTGCAGATATGTACGCCTGGCCCGCAAATCCGCAGCATGTAACCCGCTCAACCACTATCTACGGATCTGACCCATTTGGCCCTTTAACATAATAAAATGGGCATTTTGTTATAATGAAATGTTTAGTTAAAATTAAACCATATTTTGCTATTAGAGCTATAATTTAATTGCCCTACCTAATTTTTTATATATTACGAAAAATTAAAATATTTATAACGATTTAGATACTATATTTATGTAAATAAATTTTTAAAACTGTTTATGCTTGCACATGCGTGCGGGCCAAACTCCTAGTAGTCAGTAGTTGCTTTAAAATTTTTGTCCAAAAAAGCGTAAACATAATTATAAATATTTATAAATTTTATAAATGTTATAATTTATGTTTCAAAAATTATAACTTTTCATTCAAAATGATAAGTTATATTTTTATTTTTATATCATCCAAATCTATTTCTTTGAACTTGGTATGAAATACTGATATAATTTTTATACAAATATTTATCTGGACAAATATTTAATTTTGAAAGATACTATATTTTTGTTTTTTTAACATTAATTTCTTTTCTATTTGTTAGTTAATGTTTTAATTTTGAAAAACGAAACGAAATTAATGTTTTTAAAAAATAAAAATTAATTTGTAATATTTTAATCAAATTTAACTTTTTATGTTTAATGAAAAACGCTGATGTGGACCAATCATATTGAGTTTCTTCATCTTAACATTTTTGTGATTAATAAAAATGATGATGTGGACCAATCAGATCGAGTTTTTTAATTCCATGTGGAAGCTCTCAATGTACTATGTCATCAACTTTTTATATAGCATAGACTAGGTATATAACTCGCGCTACGTGCGAGTCTGTATTAATATTTTGATTTATTTTTTTAGTTCCTACCTTTAAAATTATTAAAATTATATATATTTATAGAAATTTTTATTTATATAAGATAATTTAATATATAATGTGTAATTTATCCTATTTTTATTTTTAAATTTTTAAAAACTATTAGGTAAAATAATAACAATGACACCTATTGAATTATCTAACTTTGACGTACATATACATTTGATTTGAAGAAATATAATCTTGCTAAGATTTTGGTATTATTTTCTGTTTTGCATAGAATTTTTATAGTTCTTTTTTTCTTGAAGTTTTATGTGTTCAAATATTTAGTTTTTTATTGAAAGTCTTATTGATGTTGTGTACTACTGTATATATAATTCAGGATTCATGTTGATCCGCATTTAATTTTGTTAGGAAGCTGTAATGATCATGCAAAACCATTTTTTTCCCCTTCTCCATCATGTCTTCCAAGAGTTTTATGTTATATTTTTATTCAGTTTTCATTGTTTTAATTGTTAAATCGAATTGTTGTAGATTTTTTTAAATTGATAATTGATAATGGTTATTTTTTATACATGTATTGTTTATTGTTAATTTTTTATTTAACTTTCAAAATTTTTAAACCATATTAACATTTTCTGATTTAATAAATATGTTGATTTGTATCAATCAGATTGAATTTACTTTTCTTGTTGGACATAATTTGTTAAATTAACTTTTAATGTTTTAATTATACTTAATAATTTTTGGTTTGATTTAAAAGCTGATGTGGACCAATTAAATCAAGTTTTTTCGTCTTAATCATACTTAACATTTTTTTATTTAATGAATATGCTGATGTGGACCAATCCGATTGAGTTTTTTAATCTCATGTGGACGTCCTCAATGCACTATGCCCATTTTTTATTTAATGAATATGTTGATGTGGACCAATCAGATTAAGTTTTTTAATCCTATGTGGATGCTTTCAATCCAGTAAGTTTTATATAATGAATATGCCATCAACTTTTGTATATTATATAATGATGATTATGAAGAATTATAGATTTAGCTAATTGGCATCTTGCATATGTCACATGACTTCCGTGACCTGATATTTAGTCAAGTGTAAACAACGTGATTATGATTAGGGAAAAAAATTGTTACGAAGAATTATAGATTATGGATTCTCATGCGATCATAAATCTATATATTTTTATCCTTAACATTTTTTTGTATAGATTAGCGTAAAATAAACGAAGAACTAAAGTTCAAAAAAAAAAAAAAAACCTAAGAATTATAATAGGTGAGAACGCCTCTATATAAACTAGTCTCACTCTCACAAAATTGTATCCGTGCCCAAATTATTTCATTTACACTCACAACTCTATCATATTTTCCCTAATCATGCGGAGCTTCATTTTAGCATTACTATGTCTAGTTCCTCTCTCGATTTCAACCGATGGATTACCAAAGAAACCATGGCCTAAGCCATCAGAAATAGCGGCAGGACACCACCATCACAAAGGCTCCGGCTGCCTTGGAGATTCCAAGGACGGTTTGGCTTGCTCTTCTTCACCTTCGCTGTTGCTTCCGGGTCTTTCAAACATCCCAGGGCTACCCAACATTCCGGAAATACCAAACATCCCGGGAATCCCTAACATTCCAGGGATTTCTAAGGTTCCAGGATTTCCAAACATCCCTGAGATCCCTAACATCCCGGAAATTCCAAAGATCCCAGAAATTCCTAACATTCCAGGTATTTCCAATGTTCCAGGACTCCCAAATATCCCGGAGATCCCTAACATTCCTAAGATTCCTAAAATACCAGGGATTTCTAATATTCCGGGACTTCCTAACTTCCCATGGATCCCTAACATTCCAGGACTCCCTAACATCCCAGGCTTCCCTAGACTGTCTCCTGTACCGCCATTCCAGCCAGTAGTTTTATTGCAATCGCCTGAAATGGAGAATTGCTTTACTAAAGATGTATCAAAGACCGCTGAGAAATGCTTTTCGCATATATTCTCGAGATGGGCAGATAAGGATTTTGCAATGGACAAGGAGTGCTGTGAGATTGTTGTGAAGATGGATAAGAAATGCAATAGCCACATTAGCGTGCTGTTCAAGAGCCGCTTCGTCGCTCCTCTTCTTCGGTACTCATGTCACATCAAGCACACCAAAAACTAAGCAAATCCCTCCAAGGAATATATATCTATATATATAGTTCTATATGTTAGCCGTCTATTTGTTATTTCCAAAAATCATGTCACATGTGAAATTTCATGACTTGTATGTTCTTAGTTGAGTAAAAATAAATGATAGTTTGTTTATACAATCCATATTAAATTTTCTCCTTACGTACTAATTTACTTTCTACTTTCTCGAACTTGTTAAGTCGAGAATAATGATTAGTCCAATTACGTACTTCGTTAGCGTGAAAAATATCAATTTAGAATTTGTATTCTAATCAAAAATGCTCTGTTCGAGCAAGAAGGTCCATCTACCTCTCTGTACACTTTTCCTTTCGGCTTTTTAGGCTTGCTTATTCCCAAATAACTGTGTGCCCCTGCCAATATCGCCATTAAAGGGGTTTTTTTTTTCCCTGTCACGAATAGAAATTAGAAACGAATACTTAAAAGCATATTCCCCAAAATAACATATTCACTTGTATAAGTATCTTATTTTCCAAAGAGTTTTGTCTTTGCATCTTTATTTCTACATTCGATTTCTGTTGACATACTAAAAATCTGCAATATATTTTCTAGAAAACCACGCGACTGACATTTTCAAAAAAAAACACACCCGAGAAAACATAACAAATTGAGGAATCAGTTTCACTATCTGATAAGATTATATATTGCACGTTTGAATATTCAAAAATAAAGGTTATATATTTACATGTTTTAAACTTCTTCATACTGTCATACATTTAGAAAAATAGGTTAAACGAATGCCCTTCTATATAATCCAATCCCACTTCGATAAAATTACATTTCCACACCAAATTCATTTCACATACTCAACAATGAAAAGCCTCATCTTCCTCGTACCTCTCTTCTGTCTCATCGTTTTTCCGACAACAACGATCGGAGGTTGGCCAAAACCTTCGGAAGTCTCCAATGAGGAGATGCTAATGAATACCGACCACCACCGTTACAACGATAATAAATTAAGTTTTGGAGATTCCAAAGTCTGGAAATGTGTTTATAACAACGGATCTGGGGCCGCCATCTCTGTTTCCTATCCTGGATCTCCACAACCTCCGTCCCAAAACCCACCAACTCCATCATCTCCTCCTTCGAGTCAAAATAAGTCTCCACCATCACCGCCTCCCAAACAATCTCCTCCGCCTCTTAAACCATCACCTCCATCTCCTAAACCATCACCTCCTCGTCCAATTCCGAAGAAGTCTCCTCCTGCGCCTCCCAAAAAATATCCTCCGCCTTCTAAACAATCACCTCCGCGTCCACCTCCAAAAAAGTCTCCTCCTCCGCCTTCTAAGCCATCACCTCCGCGTCCAACTCCAAAGAAATCTCCACCGCCGCCTTCTATGCCATCACATCCGCGTCCAATTCCAAAAATGTCTCCTCCTCCTCCTAAACCATCTCCTCCGCCTCTTAAACCATCACCGCCTCCCAAAAAATCTCCTCCGTCTCCTAAACCACCATCTCCTCCACCTCCAAAGCAATCTCCACCATCTCCTAAACCATCACCTCCTCGTCCAACTCCAAAGAAGTCTCCTCCTCCGCCCCCCAAAAAATCTCCTCCGCCTTCTAAACAATCACCTCCGCGTCCAACTCCAAAAACGTCTCCTCCTCCTCCTTCTAAGCCATCACCTCCGCGTCCAACTCCAAAAATGTCTCCTCCTCCTCCTAAACCATCAACGCCTCCACCAACTCCCAAAATTTCACCACCACCTCCTACACTATACCCGCCTCCTCCTAAAACGCCACCTACGGTTAGTATAATTCGTTAAGGTCCAAAATATTTTGTATGCCCCTTTCGTTTCAGTTTAAGTGATATTTAATTATTTACACATACTGCACACACATTAAGATACGTATAATCATAACCCTATTTATGATAATGATCAAGACAACGGAATGATGATGGCAAAATTTTAGGTTAATTAATGATAGTCCCTAGGATATATATTTCTGGGCAATCTATATAGTTGGTTTTTTTGGTGCAAAATCTATAATGATGACATGATATTTTAGAAATATTTTAACTTCTAGATCCACCACTCCCCTCCAACTTCCGGGAAGTCTCCACCACCACCAAATGAGTCAACTCCATCAACACCGGAGCATCATTATCAGAATCCCAATCCGAATCCGTGGGGACATTTTATCAGCTGTATTAATGACTTTGGGCCGTCGGCAATATGTAAGCAACAAATGGAGGTAAGTTACTACACAGGGAACTTTCTTGTGAGTGACTATTGCTGCAACCTTATTCTCAACATGAGATATGAATGCACCGATGTCATTGTGGGCTTCTACACCGACCCTTTCTTCGTTCCTCTAATTCGATACACTTGCCACGTCAAGAACTAGCTCTTGTTTGGTTTCTTTTCTTTCCATATATAAGGGCTCAATCTTTTCTTCTTAGGTTCTTTAGTCATGTAATTTTGCTGTTGTTCCATATCTTATGGACCGTTCTTTTGTTACATTTCATGAATAGCAAAGAATTTCTTCTTCTTTCTCATTTGTTACTATATAATCTCTGTACGCCTGAAACAATAATGTTTTGGGGTTTTATTTGTTTCACAAATATTGATGTTTCAAATTTTTAAATGTGCCTTTTGTTAATTATTGTTAATAATTTGTAACTTTAAGAAAATATTAGTTAAAAGTATTTGAATTCATAAAATACGAGTAGTATAGTTATTGAAACGTATTTTGTGTTAAAAAGATAATACTTTAATAGATAAACATTAATTGTTGTTTAATTAATATGAAGTCTTTAAAATATCATTATTTTAAGAACAGAAAACATATATTTTAAAAGCTACCTTCCGAATTTATGGAAAATTATGGGCTAAAAAGTCCGGAGTTATACTGAAATTTCTTTTTATAACAGAGGGAAATAAAATATATTTTTAAAAGACTTGGATTATTTTATCTTTATTATTAAAATATTAAAGATTTCATTTACCTGTAACAAATTCTTTTTATATGATACTAGATATGGACTCATGCACTCACGAATTTTTAATTTAAATTATTAATTTAAATTAAGGTTATAATTATTTACTTTATATTTTAAAATTAAGTAATTATTTTTTTATTTAGTTTTTTAAAATTAGTAATTATTTTTTATTGATTACCAAAATTGAATTGAATCTAAACATTAATAGACTAATATATAATCAATAAATTGAATTTAGTTACTTATAGTTTTATTGATTTAGTTAAATTAACTTATATTTATTTTCGTAGGTCAGTAAATAGAAAAAAATATTGAAAGATATATTAGAAAAACATTTCCCATTCTATACGGTATCTTTTTATAATAACAGAATTGTTCTATGCTGTTTTCAGCAATTTTTATTAATTAATAATATAACAGATGTTATGTAGAAAATAATACTGAAAGATATAGACGACGTCGTATACAATTATAACTTTACCCCTGAATTTCCATATAGAATCTTATCTATCTTCGCGAGCATGGATGGTTAGAACAGGTTTTCCGTTTTAGCATTCATGAATTACCTGTGTATGCTCGTTGATCTGTTTCGCTAGATCTGTTTGCATCTTCTTTTCCAATCTCGCATTCTGTATTGCGAGCCTAAACTTTGCTTTCACGCCATCCATTACAGAAGTCTCTGTTTCCTCCTCCATCTTCTCTGTGTTTTTCACCAGCGTAGCTGATAGCTGGTGTTTTGATTAGCTAAGCAAATCCAAACACACTCATATCATTGCAGCATGTAATGTATTAATCCACCTGAGTTCTTAAAACACCAAAAATATAGCAAATCAATTAAGTCAAGCTAAATTCAAGAAAACAGTTGTAAACAAACTAACAAGTCTAAAGACTGAACTAAGCAAAGCAGGAAATTCAAACAGATTAAGTAAGGATCTAAGATGGGAGTTATTGATTAAGAGGGGATTATAACCTAACTAGTGATGCGTCAAGACCATTCAAACAATGCTATCTTCTAGGCATATGATTAACTATTATAACTAACTTAATTCCTTGATACTAATCACTTTGCTAAGCACACATTCAAGATAAATCTCTTTACTAAAAAACATGATCAGCAAGCATTAAAAACAGAACTTCAAACCTATAAAGCCAAAATGCACCTTTGACATCTAATTCCTTAGGCTAAGCATACAAATCCTCTAAGAGACTCTAATCAGCATTTCATCAAACACTTACCAGGCGAAAGAGAAATCCAAAATACTAAACAAGCCTGGCCAAGACTAATCTAGTGTTAAGCACATCTAATAGAGAGAAGACAATCATATTAAGCACAAGACATCACTAATCTAGTGCTAAAACCCCTCTAATCTATCCCATCTCAAACCTTAGATAAGACTACTCACTAGCCATAGTCAAAACCACAAATTCCAAAGAGAAACAATGGTTAAGCATGATTAAGAAGCAGAATAAACAAGAATAGATCAAAGGCAAATACAGAAATTCACTAAATCAAACTAGTTCTTACAAAGCAAAGCTGAAAAAAGAAAGGTTTTAAGTGCAAGAACAGAAGAAAGATAATAAGATCCAAGTTGCCTAACCATTTTAGGACTTTAGTATTTATAGGGAAACTAAAAAACCCCTAGTAAACCAAGATTAAACCAAAAATAAGCTGACTCGGGCAGACCATATCGACTGTGAACATCGATATACATGTCGATATTAAGTCTTCTTGTGGGTTGTATCGATGTCCCTTGGTCGATATGCACGTCGATACAGAAGGCTCCTAGGTTGTATCGGTTTGGCTCTCCATGGTGTGAAGTCGATACAATCGCCCTTTAGTTAAGGCTCATTGATCAAGCAAGTCGATATGGCACCACGGTATTGTCATGTCATGTGTATCGGTTTGAGACATCAATATACTGCTCGATATGGACTCCTTTCTATTGCATCGAGGTGTCTCCTAGTCGATATGCTGCCTTCTCACCATGTCCTTACTGTATCGGTGCTGAAGTGGTCGATACTCCCATTGATATGCTCTGTATTGGTCAGATGATGTCGATATCATCATCGATATTGGTCCATTCGTCTTTGTCTCTTGCTTTGCTCCATTCCCAGCTCATACCCATTGCACCACATGACCTCCACGCTCCTTCTAGTACCTGAATAAAACTCCAAATGCAATGCAAAATGCAATACAGCTCCTAAAACTACACTATCTCCTAAATGTATGCAAATGGGACAAGAAGAAGCAAAATATGCATGTTTAAAGACCAAAACTAGTGATGAATGCAAGCTAAAATGGTATAAATGATGGAGGAAGGAAGAAGTACCGAAGCACTCTTAGCACAACTGCCGAGAGCTAGAATCTGGGATGTGGAAGGAAGAGTCAAAGGGACAAACCTTGGCAATGGTCGCTTTCAATTTAATTTTGAGAAGGAAGAAGATATGGAGAAGGTGCTAGCCAAACGCCCGTGCCATTTCAATTGCTGGAGCTTTGCTCTTGAGAAATGGGAGCCCTCTACAAGTGAAAATTTCCCAAATACCATACCGTTTTGGCTGAAGGTGACAGGGGTACCAGTTCACTTCTGGAATGATGCAACTTTTAAGGCAATTGGCAAGGCTTTGGGAAACGTCCACACAACAGATGCAGACAGTGCACGTTTTCAAGTTTCCATCAATGTTGATGAGCCAATCCAGTTTGAAAGGCGTGTGAGCTTCCCTAATGGCGACATTGGAAAAGTTTCTTTTGAGTATGAAGGGTTACATCGATTTTGTTACAATTGCAAAAAGCTCTCTCATGAAGATAATTCTTGTCCTTTAATGTCTATAGAGGAAAAGAAAAGGCTTACTGGCATCAATGGAGAAACAGAGGAAAAGAACAGGATCGGTGCTCCTAAAATGCCCCTCCACCACCAAAGGAGACACTGAAAAGAACACGCTCCCCACGGAATGATGAATGGCGTGAGAAGGAAAATATCTCCAACAGCAGAAAAGTTTCCAACGGTGAAGGAGGAAGATACATTTCGGATGCACCTGCAGCCGAAACTTATGACTCTGAATTCCATCCAAATAAGATGAGCAGAATCAACTCCGGTTCAAACCGTGTACCAATGCGTGGAAGGGAAGAAAGGCAAAAATATGTATCACATGGCATATATGACAATCGCGACTTCTCGTTCCCTGAGCGAAGAACAGAGCGTGTAAGAAACAAAGTGGGTGAGATAAGAAACAGAGAAGAGGATTTACGTATGGAGCTCCGAGGAAAGAGACATGCCCGAAGTTTGGAGGTTTGGAAAAGAATCGAACAGCCACGAAATGAATACTTTCCGCGGAATCGCGAGTATAATCGTTTGTACATCAAAGGAGGGTATGAGCAACGATCTTCGAAGACAGATGGGTTTGGCCGGAAACAAGTATGGAGACCAAAGGAGGGTAAAGAAAATGATACAATATCCCACCATACATCTTCCTGGGGGGATTTTGTCCCGACTACGAACTCCCCAAAAACGGCTGCTGATTCTCAACGGACAATCTCAGAGCAAATCTCAGGGCTAAATATCAACGAACATCAGAAATCAGGCCTCCTGGTCATACACTCAGATGAGACAGAGGAGGAGAAAGCTAGGCGTTTAAAAGGTAAAGATCATATGGTTACTCAGGAGAACCCTAATAAGAGGATAGTGCAGTATGGGTACCTTAAGAAACCCGGAACACTGGTTATTAGTGAGCCAGGGGTACAAGATACACCCACATCGGCAAGACAGCCCCTAGAAACATTGAGACAGCCTATGACGAAGGAGAATAATCCGCGAACTGGTGAGCAAATGGAGGTGGATGAGCTGCCGGAATCCGAGAGCTATGGGGAAGAGGTAATCCCTCCAATGACTGAGAAAGAACTAGAAGAGTTCGATAGGAGAGCTAGAGAAGAGAACAGCTTTGTTATAGATGAAGATGAGCTGGAACAAGATGATCTCTTGGGGGATGATCTCGCGAATGAGGCTACAATGATCGAAGCAATTTCACAACTCACCCCATCCCCGATTTCTGGGGAAAAAGATCAGAAACGGTCAAAGAAAGAAGCGAATCCGGAGAAGACAGAAAATGGGTCTAATAAGAAAAATGGCAAACGGGCCATAATGGGCCTAGGGGGCAAAAGGCGTACCCAAAAAAGCCCTTTGGTCAAGGGTGGAGGAGCTTCCAAAATTTTGAGTACCGTGAGAGGACGAGACTCGCCAAAGAAAAGACAGGGACTGGGTATTAATACGAATCCCTCTCGTAAATCATCTTTCCCTCAGAATGAGGTGTTTCCTTCTGCTTTAAACAAGAAGAAGCCTGCTGTTTCAGGTTCGGTGGAGTCCCAAAAACCACCCAGTAAGAGAATATGAGTACAATTTCATGGAATTGTCAAGGTGCAGGAGCTTATCTGACAAAGCAACATCTTCGAGAGCTGCACCGCTGTT